TTTTTTTTGAATATATAGTTTTATAGCCCATTCAATTTCAACACAACAAAAGCAAGTTTTAAGTTGATTTTTGACAAGTCGCCCGATTAAAAAGTTTTTATTCTCCATGTTTTGAAGTTCGCTGAATTTTCAGAAAGCCTGCAACATTTATATGGTTTTTGTTATATATATTTTAAATAAAAGTTAACGAAAAAGAATTAAAATGGAAGGCATTTTTAACATGTGAAAAAACTCATCAGCTGAATAACTGTATGTATGTATGTCCATCTACATATATACATACATACATATGTAGGTAAAATAGTGCATTCAATGACTTACCGTACAACGTGCTTATGCCGCTCGACCCAATACTTAATGGCACTGCGCACCATCATTTCCTGTTTCCTGGTTAAACCATTCGGATTTGTGCCATTCACGCCATTAAAAGTTTGTAATGTCGATGGCGCACGAAATTGTGCACCCCAATCAGCTTTGGAGCTATAAACGCCGCTGATATCCAGATCAGTGGGTTCTTTCTCTGAAAAGTAATTACATATTTAAAACATGGAATTAAGAAAAGGTGTTTAGATATTATTATGATTGAAAACGAGTGCCCAAGGTCGAGATAAAATCGCGTTGTTATATTTTGTAGACTTAAAGTGAGATTCTACTCTGCTTTAAATGTCGCTAATTTATATTTACGATTGCTGCTCATACTTAAAAATTAGAAGGGCAGGACTTTTGTTGATTCATTCGTTTTGGCAAGAAGAACATTTTTATCGTTTAATTTTAACATTCTGAAGTACCTTAAATTATTAAAACAAAAAGAAGAGTAAAATTTCAAAAATTACAAAACAGCTACGACAGGTATTATGTATCCAGCCATTTTTTATTTCGGTGGCACACTCTTGAAACTTCACAGACATCTTGTATTTGACGCCAACATCCGCTGCCTTTAATATGAACATTCTACTTAAAAACTTCTCAAAGTTATTAAAAAACTATTAAGGCTAAAATAGTTGAAATACTTGATTTATTTTTTATTGTACTTGTTTCTGGAACTCCATTGATTGAAATATCTTCGCTACCATATCAAACTATCGAATGTGCAAAAAAGCTGTTTCAATTACGATACTTTGCGCAAGCGTTTAGAATGATACACAATTTGGCAAATCATCATTCGAGTTTTCTTAGAAGCAGAGGCTTTAACAAAGTTTCGAATCCCACACCTTTTCCTAATTACAACAAATTTTTACAACAGATTTTGCGATCTCCTGAAAAGTTTCAATTTATACATTTGATAGTTTGACAAGGTAGCGACGATATATTCAAGAAGAATGCTTTACTGTTTTTTTTTGTGGCAAGAGAAGGAAGTGGCACTGAATCATATGCGAAGACTTAGCGAAAATATTTTTTAAAAGATGGACATATCTATAGCTTCTACTTGACAGTTAAGGAAACAAAGCAATCATTCTACGTTAACCGGCAAACCGGAAAGCGCCCAATATAATTCTCTCATTTTTAATTTCGTCTTCAAAATTTACTCACCTTCATTGTTGATTAGCTCCGACTTAGAGTTGGCCGATAAAGAACGAAAAAGTGCGGCTGAATTGGGTCGATACGTGTCCAAGGAAGCTGACAACTCCATCAAGGGCTTCATGATCCCTTTTAAATGTTGCAGTTGCTCGCATGCGAAAATCAACCACGAACAGAAGAGCACATCACACAAGTTCGAGTGCACCATGGAGAAGAGCAGATAGTAGAATTGATAAGCGAAACTGATTATGTAAAACATGCCCGACATCGCATTCCAAGGGTAAAAAGATTTAATCGGCAAGCGTGGAATTTCAACGGTGATGGTCGAATTTGTCTCCTTGTCGAAGGCGAATTTAACGCTCTCGCCGAAGAATGTAATGGTGGTCCAAGCTGAAGTGTTGGGAGTTGGGGGCGAAAGAATTCAAAAGTTAATATGAACAGATATAAATTTTCTTTCTATTTGTATGTTTGTATGTAAAAGTATGCGAGTGCATAAAAAGCGCGCACTCACCCACAGCCGAGGCGACGGTGGTTAGCATAACCAACGTGAATAGTTTTCGCATCTTGGCGAGGGCGATTGCATGGTAGCGAGCATCCGACTCGGCAAACAATGGATGCGAATTTACTTGATTCCAGATATTCAATGTTCTGCAATTAAAATGAAATGAATTTTATAGTGCGTCATTAAGCTAGGCACACACACACACACAGATACACAAGCAGGGGGCGAGCGATCGCAAGGAGCGTAGCGCTGTTGAAATGCTTGATTGTGCGGCTAATTAAACGAATTCATGCGCCGCCATCGGAAGTTCCACT